AAGGGGTTAACCATAAACCAGCCCATCACTGGCGCAGCCAACCTTTTCTGAAAACTCTGTAAGCCAATAGAAGTACAACTAATCCTACATAAAATCCAAAAATACAGCACATCCGTGTATAGAGTAACCCGGCAGCAATCGAGACCTTCGGTACCTGGAAGTGGACATCATTGTCAGACAGTATCACAACTTATATTCAGGCCCACACCATTGTCCTTGTGCGTGGAAGTACTGGTTACGAGTCCTGAGTTTACGAAGGATGAGTCCTTACCTGCAAAATTGGGTGTGTGCCGAACGTTGTACCCCGTGGGAATTGCAATGCCGAGAATGCGTGTGACTTTTTGGTTGTAGTCTTGACTACACTGTTTAATGTCCGCTTTAAAGTCCGCTTGTATTGGAGACTACAAAAAGACTACACAATCGGATTTGTAGTGTCTGTTTGCAATCACACTGTGTTTTCGTCTTGAGTTGTTCATGTATTTCCGTAGTTTCTTCTACGAAGAGGTTTTTTTTGGGTTATCCGTCTACTGGAATATTTCGAGCATTTAATCGTATCTCCTTCCTTTACTGCATGCTCTTAGTCATGTGTGGCATGTTGTACCGTGGGAATACTTCAGTGGCTGTTTGTAGTCAGTGGCTGAGTGTGTCGCGCCGGCTGGGATCTCTGGCTTCTCATTGGCTCCTGCTTACTATGACATAGCTTGACTGCAGAAAGCGCATTTCTGTAGTTGAGTGATGTCATAGTTGCCCACTCACTCATTAGTCTAGTACTTGCAGCAGTTGAAGCATGTCAACTTGGTGGGCTGTGCTTCCTTTCAATCCAATCATTACTGGTACATACACATTGATCTTATTTTGGCTATAACAGGTTCTTGAATGTTGCACTTGTGTTCTAAAATAATATGCTGACTGCTGAATAGTTTGATGGATTGTTTTTCACACACATAATCTGAGTCTATGTGTGGATGGCAGGGACTATGATACAATTTCTTCAGTCACAAGCATCTTGGGCCTGTGCTTCTCAATCTCTGCTGCCTCTGGAACCCTGAGTTCTTCCACTCAGTGGTATCTATATGCCCCCTTGAGAAATTGAAGCTAGTGCATGTGTAATATATATTTCATTTCTGCTCCCAGCTGCTTGGAGTACTGTTTGAGTACCCTTTCTGATGACTTGGGGGGAGTGGGCCAATGCTGTGCATGGCTGGTTACGAGTCCTGAGCTGGGCATAAGATACTCCCTATTTTACACTGTATACCATAGAGCTGACACAAATATTCCTAGTATTATTTGAATTTCACTAGACCTCTCAAGATCATCTTGTATATTCCTTTATTTGCTATAGAGCTCTGGTTATATTATGGATTTCCCACATTTTTCACAATTTTTCTGGTCCTTCTACAGCCTGCAAGCAATTCCAGATACCAATGATGTAATGGCTCTGCAGATCGGGTGAACCTGCAGAGAGCCTATGTCATAGAAGGCGGGAGCCAATCAGAGTCCAGGAATCCAAACCGACGCGCACCTCAGCCACTGACTACAAGCCACTACAATAGTCAATTCCTAGGATAAGCAATAAAAGTAAAACCACCATGCGGACTAGGACAAGACACACAATCAATAAATTCACGAAAATATTGTTTTAGACCCATATAGCATACGCCCCAGACTAGAGAAAATAAAAGAGAGATAAGACGAAGAATTGGGCCCGCAAATGAGCAAACAATGGTCACAGAGACTACAAAAACGCGCCAAAAGTGGTTTTGTAGTCTCACATACAAACGGACTTTCAAACGGAGTTTCAAAAGTGTAGTCCACAATACAAACTATAACTCCCACGACTTCTTGGCACAAAAGGTTCTCACGGGGTACAACGTTCGGCACGCAGGCATATTTTGCGCGTAAGGACTCGTCCTTCGTACCTCAGGACTCGTAACTATCCTTCAGCTTGGTTTGGGAAAATGAATGCGAGGGAGCTGCCAATGGAAGATTGGCAGTGGATGAGCACTCTGGTTTTGGTAGGATGTTACCTGGAGTCTGCAGGTATTATTGACTATCTCTTCCACTGGGGACAAAAGACCTGTGTCACAGAGCTGCCAATCTTTGATTGGCAGCAGAGGAACACTTTGATCTATGTTATTTGTGTCTAGTAGTGCAGCTGCTACTGTCCCTTGGGCTGGGTACAAATACAGTTTTGTAGTCTTTTTGTAGCCAACAATACAGACCAACTTTTATTCTGTCAGAGGCAGGGACTTTTATGGTACAATGATGGCAGAGCCACAGGAGGACAACTTGAATGTATGAATGAAAGGGACATTGCAGATACAGATCTAAGGGATTTCAATATGTGCATAAGAAAGAGTACTGTATACATCAATTGGAACATTTATACACCCAATGCTAACACTTATCAGACACAACTCAGGACTTGTGTCCTGCCATGCATAGCAATGGCCCTCTACTGAGTTGTAATGAAGACAGCCGCGGGCGTCCGCGGGCTCAGTCTGGATGGCGGGATTCTGTTCAGCTCGACCTCCCAGGAAGACAGTCCTTTCTGATTGCTTGAGTTTGACCGTGTCTGGCCATGGAATACACTGGCGGATGTGTTCTCCCGACGAGTCTTGCGTAAAACTAATGTAGCCAATAGTGTGTTGGAATATCTAGGGGTACCTTCAGATAAGTTGTCCCAGTTCCCCAATGGGATACTCACAGCTTAGCAGTCAGAAATAGACTTGGGGGCCCATTTAATACTGCCGCCACAGTGAATCAGGAGACTACGCACAATGTGAAGTGGGCGTTATTGGTGCGGATACCCAAGAAAAGGACAAGGTGCATGATGGAGGAACATGCAGTCATTGTTCCGGTTTCTACACATATGATTACGGGGCGCAAGAGAAGATGATACGTTGTTTTAAAATACGACTCGCGGCCAGCTTTGTAGAGCTAGACAGATGGTTGAGAGCCGAGAACTTTACAGCATAACTGAGCCTACCAGGTAGACCATGTTTATAGCAATCATTATATCACAGAATGCACTTCCTGCCAACCAGACCTAAAAGGAACTTGAATGAGCACCTGAAAACCCGTGAGTATGACGGAGACACTCGCTGAAATGAAGGGTGTTATTCCGTAAATAGCATCGAGAGTTGGCAGCTCCCAGATCTGGTAAAAAATGAGTTTATCGAGGAGCAACGAGACATGCACGCTAACCTTCACGCCGGAAGCGATCGCCATGGACGATTGCATGAGACAGACCTGTTCTTGGACTTTAGGATCGGTGCGATAAGCAGAGGGCTTCTGAGCGTACAACAGCTATAAGTCCCGGAACTATGATACCGCTTCCCAAGAGAGTCATACGCCAACAAAAGAATAATTGCACGGTAAGGGAGACTGAATAATTCATTGGAATTTATCCATAGTTATGTGAGGGAAATACTGACTGATTCCATGAAGTGCAGCCGTATACGCAAAAGCCCAGCTGGGGTTGGTGAGGGCTCGCAAGTTGCCCCATCCAGAAGCTAGGCCATACCATGCCGACACGGTAGTAAAGGCCGTTGACACTATCTCCAAACAGAAGACCGTCCACACTAGACGCTTAGTATTAAAAAAGGTATCCAGCGGGCTCCCCGAGCGCGACCTTGCCTGTAACCTTTATGGGCAGTCCGTCGGTGGTATACGTCGGCTGGCTGCAGAAAATGACTATCGAAAGTTAGCTTTAAATGTCATAGTCGTTGAAATGCAACTTCCAGACTCACACACTTGCACTATAAGCATGCCTTGCAATAGATACGAGAACAGGTAACCCATGAGCTAAATGTGTATTCAGCTCGGGGACTATTCGTGCAATATAGAGGATGTACCAAGGGCCCATTCCTACACCAGAGATTGGTAAACACGATTTGATAGATCGCGGAGACCTTGAGTATGATGAGATACGCACTGTCCTACAATGGCGCTGGGTACTAGTACTTCCGGGGCGCACATCTCGCTACTAGAGAGCCGCGGGGAGGGGGGAGTAAGACAACGGGGGCTGAGAATCTCATTTACGGGTAGACCCTTTATAGCAAACAGCCCGGCTGGGATACCTTAGTCGGTGGAAATCGAAATACCAGACGGGAGCTAAGCCGCCATAACATCTTGATGCCTTGATTGAACTCCATCTAATAATCAGTCACACTGGACGAGAGATGCAATTCAAGTGAAGTTGCATCTGGAGCGTACTGAATGTATTAATACCGGTGCCAGTTGCGAATCGGCGTGATCGCTCAAGTGCCTGCGGATAGGACTTAACGTCAGTAGACATATACGTACTTTTGTAGTTTCTCGTATTGACGACAATCGTTCTTACAAACATACGTTATCCTTGGTGTAGCAGAAAAGAACACATCATTGGCAGGATGATTCACTCGACGTGCGACTGTACTCGCCTGCATGCTCGGAGTATGGTATCATAATTCGCGAGGAATCTGGCGAGAGACTAGATGCCTCTCCGAGTCGTGTTCTGCCACTCATGCATACGACTTGGAAGCTGCGCTCTCTCGTGTTTGATGATCTCAGCGACGATCGATGTTTCTCGTTCTAGGTAGTCTCTGTTCCTGCGGAAGCCTAGTCTTCCGTAAGCAGACCGAATTGCCTCCCTTTTTAGCACGAGAGAGGTCGGTCGGCATATCACGGAAAGCCCGGGCTGGTTGGTAGACGGCCACCACAGCACACCATGAACGTGGGTAATTGTTGCCACGAGTGCCCCCCTTGTCGGATATCTGCACGGTCTATGAAAGGCGAGGCAATCGAACGACGCAGTGAATAAACCAAGTTGGATGGTGACCATATCTGTTTGAAGTTGCCTCAAGGCCTGCACTCATCTAGCTGAGGATCAGAATGCCCCTAACACATCATGCTAGAGAACCTAGGCCACCCAAGCATAGATAGCTAATGATAGCACAGTCAAAGTTGTGGAGGTGGACGTCCCGATCCTTGGGTTCGCCGCAATTTTCTTATGCTTGCTACCCGCTACTTTTCCTGCTTCGAGATGCAAGCTCAGGACCACGTAACACGACCTCTTCATCGTCCATGCCCCGGAAGAAGTACCAAATCAGAATCGCGGCTAGACCATTGGCAGCGCCCACGCCGACAAACGGCCAGATGAGATTTGCTGAAGGTGGAAACGAAAGCGGCATTCAGGTTATCTTCGACGCACTGATTGATGGAGACGACACTCACGGTCCTTGAAAGCAGGCGAACAGATCTCCACGAGTGCGCTCGAGAACGCGCTCATGAGGAGGATCATCGCCATCACGATGCCCTTCATTCTTGCTGGGCTTCGAGTGTACGCGCTATTCCAATTGATACCCGGATGCGTCAAACAGTGCATGATAACGGACACCAGGAGCGGTGTATACGCACATCTCGTAGGCTGTGACGTTAATCAAGATACCACCCATGGGAGGCAGCCAGTACAAGGGCACCTGAGCCCAGACCCTCTGAGGGAACGTCAAATGTTATACCGGCAAGAGCTCTTGAACGACGGCTTACGATAGGAGAGACTCCAGTTCCAATATCACATGTGGTGGCACCGTACCCGCAGGGTGAAGTGCGGTAAACCTGCCACTGCAGGATGGCCCCTATGATCATGGTGAGGACGCCGATGCAGAACCCTGTCACGACTGCAGACGCAAGGGCGTCAAGATGATACAGCTCAGGTGCAGTATATGGCACGTACTGCGGCGGATTGGGCTGAAGTTGATTCCATGCTTGCGGAGGAATGGATATAGGATGTAATTGTAAAATGGCACAGTCACGATCTGTATCACGGATAAGCCAAAGTACCATTGTCGGGCAGATATAGAGGCATACAGTGGATCTAAGAATAATACGTCAAAGAGCAGATCATTATTGATAGAGGTACAAGACGCGTACATAGGATTGAAATTGCTGAGCAGATCATTGGGCGCGCCTGCAAGAGCAACAATAAGGGATATACGCGAAGCGCGAGAACAGACTGACCATTGGTAGTCATAGATGCGGCCATGCTGTTCTGAATAGTGTTCAGTCCTCCATCGGCCATGTACCAGACTGGGAAGAATGCACTATAACATCGTCAGCTCATATCTACGGCAGGTAGTCGGATACTCACAAGACTTTGCACGCGTTTACCGTCTTTCTCAGATCATCAATGAATTCGTCGTCCCAGGAGGGCATCGACTTCCTATGTTCACCCCCCTCCGAGGATATGGTGGATGGTTTGGCGCTCTCCCAGAGCCTGTCACCTCCCTGTTATGCATTAGCCGACGACTTGACACAGTCCAGGTCGATGGACGTAAAAGGCAACTCACTCTCAAAGCACTTCTAAAGCCTGTCCGGCGAATCATAAGGGAGAACGCCTTGATGGCGTCCAGAAGCCCCGATCCTCGAGGAGGGTATCTTGTAAATCGATGATAAAACCGATGAGTGCAGGGAGAATCAAGGCTGCACGCACTTGACAAGGCGTTTGTAAACCCAGACGAGGGCAAGTGGAACAAGTAAAAACAGTATCGTCGGTGTGAGGTAGGCTAGCCAGTATCCCACGTCCTTCTCAGAGTCTGGTTGCACCGGTCAATTTATGCATTAGAGGCGATCGCTCAAGTCCGACTTACAAGATGTCGCGAGCTGAAACAAGGCTGAAACGGTAAGGGATGAGCAAGCTGGCGATGCACGACAAGAAAGACACGCAGCACCAACCTCCGACATTGATCGCCCAGTAGTACATCATAAGCATGTTCTCAATCGTACGGCTTGGGTCGAGGATGACTCGTTCGCCGGACGGCAGAGTCTGCACAATCTGTGACTTGACGGGCGACTGGTCTGCGATCAAAGGAGCAACGCTGCACGAACCGCGACCACGTCAGCTATCGTGAGACAACCGCAGGGCGAGATGGGAGCGGACCAGGGAGTGATCATGCCAGTCGAAAAAGCCAAAACGAGAAGCCCGATGATGAAGGCGATGATCGCATGTCCTTCCTGGATGACGGACGGAACAGCAGCTGCGGGAGTCCTTGTGAGTCCCCGGATGCTTTGGAAACCTCAAGCTGCTGCTCACAAATGATCAGGATGATATGAGCGAGGAGTGCGACGGCCGTGCCGACACAGATAGTCTTGAATCGTCCCCACTCTGTGGGCCCGAATGTGTGTCTGGAATCAAGAAATAGAGCTCTAGGACGCACTTGTATCGGCCAGGATGGCGCCGATAATAGGGGTCGTGCAAGCTAGGAAACTGAAGAGGGTGGTCAATGCATTGGCGGTAGTTAGACCGAGACCCAGTGCTCCTGCAGTTTCCTGGGTGTTTCGCGGAGGGGCTATGTACGGTTTATCAGTGATGTCCGACAGGGGGGGTATGACTCACCTCCTGCTCCGTTCCCTCCCTTGGGCAATGGCCGCTGGATATAATTGGGGAAGATGCCGGAGACACCGTAGTAACTCGCTCGTTCCGAGAACTCGACCAGGCAGATAACGTAACTCGCCCTATAAATTGTTCCGTCCGGATCTATGTAACTCAACAAGGGAGATCATACTGACCAAGGGACCTTGGCCGATACGCGACGGAGGGTGTTCTTCTCTTCCTCAGTAGGTGCCCGACCCTCGTCGTCCTCTACCAGAGACTCTACGACATAGCTACTTCGTTCGAGCACTTTCTCGTCGGACTTCGGAGGTGTTAAGACTTTCTGTCCGTCGAGAGCACCGGCCTCGTAGTCCAGCATAATACTAGATGCTGAGACCGAATGAAATGAGACGTGTTTCAATCCTCAATCGGAAGCGACTCACCCATGTCAATAGTTGTCCTCCGACGTTATGTCCTGGCTGACGCAGAGTCGGATACAGCGGCGCTAGCATCTGCTAGCTTTTGTACGCGCAGATAACTATTAGCACCACCGCTTATCAGAACTTGCCGATGTATGATTAGCATTGGCAAAAGAAGCAGGGGCACTGGCTCCTGCACAGAACTCGCGCTGATAAGAGTTTGCGCCGCAAGTGGAGGTTGAACAGATCAAGTGCAGGCGTAAGTCCTAGAATCGTCATATCGACAACCGGCCCGAGAAGTGCAGTTGGTCGCTGTGCCCGTAACTTGTGGTCCAGAGTGAACACGGTGGTCTCTCCAGAATCATGCAGTGATTGGGCATACTTACGAAGCGATATGGGTAGATAGGCCTAAGGCCTGCCGCGGAACGGCATCATCTTCGTACCTGCTCATATTATTATCAGAACACGAGGAGACAATCGATGAGCGGCAGGACTCACTGTAACAGGGCCTGAGGGCCAGGGGACTAATTAGTAAGTATTCATGTCTGATTGAAACGATCGCGACAGGCAGAAGTACTCCCGAAACCGCGCACTAGCGAGCGACATCACTCATTTCGCCAACTTACATAGCCTTGGTTGGCCCTAACCCGCATGAATACATCAGGATCCACAAGCACTCCAACGACAGAGAAGGTTCGAAGCAGAGGATACTCATCAACGCTCTCGCATCCTACCGCGAGTCAGTCCACTGCAGGCATAGTGTACGCTTGTTACTCCGAGACGTCAAGTCCTGTACATTACACCGCGAGTCATAGCGGGAGCCAGACAAAACTCGTCCTCGTGGGTATATCCGCATTCGTCGCGACAAGCTGCAAATCCGCCCCGCCCCTCACGCACTTGTAGACCTGCACGCCCGCGGTGCCCGCGAATCCCGCCGCGACGAGATACTCGCCCGCCCCGTCCGCGCCCGTGCTCAGCATCATCCCGCGGATCTGGTCCAGCCCCGTGTACACCTGCTTCACCTGCCGCACCGAGCCGTCCGACTGCATCGCCCAGACCACGATCGTGTCGCCCCGCGCGTCGAGCGTGCCCGTGTTGCGGTTCGACGTGTAGATGTACTGCTCCGGGAAGGCGGGCGATTTGGGCGAGAGAAGGATTTCGCCGGCGGCGAAGGCGGAGCCGGAGGGATACGTCGGGGGGAGGGTCGATTCGTTGGAGAGCAGGGGCGAGCTGCCGTTGGGTGCCTTGGGGAGGGCTTGCGCAGTGAGGGTGCTGGCGAGTTCATGGAGGACGTAAAAGTACCCGTCTGCAGGGATCTTAGTGATGATACGAGCGCGATGGATCGCCACGTACCGTTGACCACCGCGTGCCTCGGACCACTACCCTTTGGTTGCTCGATCAAGCCTTGAATCGCCCACTCGCCTGCGCTGCCGTTCTGCGCGAGCCGCCAGACTTTGTCGCCGCCCTGTGCCACTGTCGTTATTGCGACGAGAATATATCGCCGAACGAGGCACTCACCAGGTCTGGGACCAGGACCTCGTCTCCGTCCTGAATAGCCTCGTGCGGGTGCGAGACGCCGCCCTCCGGAGGCGGGAACGTCACCACGCGCGCGGACTTGTCAAAGACCAGCCCTCCGCTCTCCACCGGGATGATCTTGCCGTTGCCCGAGTTGTACTGTCCTGTACTTAGTGTCCGGGTGTATACTGAAATAGCAGAGCCGCTCACGTTCATCACTGCGACCTGGCCGCTGCTCAGCGCGCCGCAATACGCCGGCGCGTCGCCCCCGGAGGGGATGGTGTCCACAGGCCCAGCCAGCGCGCCCTCGGGGCCGACGACGTACGACTGCAGCGCGCCCTCCGTCACCTCGTTCACCGCACTGTCATCCGCACGTCGTCAGTGCCACCGTGTAAAATAATGGATGCGTCACGTACTATAGGATGCTCGAATTGAACGGATGAAGCGTGATCCACGACGGACTCGGGCCCGTGGGCGACTGGTTGAGCAGCGAGAGCGTCGACGCGTCGCTGTCGAACAAGTACGAGGCGACGAACGCCGTATATCCCCCCGCGAGGATGGTGAAGTTGACCATGGCTCGCTTTCAGTTGGTGACGGTTCCGCGAACCGTGTTATGCACTTTTACGTCGAGACGGAGACAAGGATGGCAGACAAAGACGTTGAGTCAAACGACCCCCAAATCGCCAGTTCAAGTTCGGGGTAGCGAGAAGCACTTTGCCGATGTCGAGGACAAACGGTAACCATGTGCTCTGCACCGCAATTGTGCATTGTTGTACTCTGTCTGCATGATTCTGTCAGGCGATGACAGCAGGGAAGACCGTCGTACAGAAGATGGAAGACAGCGTCGAATAGTCATACTGAAGGGTGAGGGGAGAGAGGAAAGGGTGCACTGACTGCAGCTGGGAGAGCTGCGGCAAACAAGATATCTATCCACCGGTATAAATACGACCAGACTCTAGATATACTTCCGCAGATAAAGGTACGATCCTGTTTCGTAGAGTTTTAATAGTTGTATCCTTCCCTCTCACACTCGCCCCGTAGGATGATATGAACAAGGAATAAATATTGCTGTGATGATACAGAAGCGTCCAAAGGGAAATATGCATCTAATGCTACATATGGATCAGTCCATGAGTTCTACAATGTGGTGCAAGTCTACTGGAGAGATTAACAAACAGCGCAATCATAGCCGCAGAACATCCAGAGTCTACGGCGGATCTATTCAGACAATAAAAGAAAGAAAGAAGGTAAAGAACGTCGAGATGAACAGCAACTGCAGCATGGACCGAAAACGTCGTGACGAAGCCTTGGGCTCTTCACGGCCTATACTCGCAAACGTCTTCCCCGCGTTCACGAAGGACACGCTCGGTCGCCTTGCGGTAAGGCAGGACGTGCGTGTCCTCCAATGTCATGCCGGGCCACGGTCCTTCGCATGCAATGTAATGCGACGGCCCGTTTCCGTGCTAGCAAGAAGGAAGGGGAAAAAAGGTTGCATACCAAGGCGAAAAAGAGACGGATGGACTGACGCGCACCTTGGCCCTCACCCATTTGTACGCAGGGGGTCCGTTCCCAAAGGCCGTCCGCGCTTGGGCATACACAAGCTGGCATGGCCCATTAGCCAATAAGCCGACGAGACCAACAGGATCACTGCCTTACACTGATGACCCCACCGAGCAGGGAAGGTGTCGGAGGCTCAGGCATCTTCCTGTACAGCTTCAGCTCAGCTTCGGCCGACGTCGACGCGGTCTCCCCAAACTGGGGAAAGAATAAGGAAGTCCGAGGACGGCCGCTGTGCTCCGTCACGAACAACGCGCGGCCCGCGTTGCCATCCTAACGCGCAGCGCAAGTCAGGAGGTGCGACGCGGCGGCAGACAGCGGACAAACCTTGTCCTTCACGCATAGGTGACCCACGACGACTCCCATGCGGAACTCGGGCCAGCAATCGTTGACATGGTCATACCGGGCTACGAAAATGGCGGTCCTGACCTGATACCCGCAGTCGGCCCCAAGAAAGGCGAGTCGGCGAGGTCAGAGAGCGCGTACCTCATAGTCGTCCCTTGCTGCGACGCGAAATCTGGTGGTGACCGCCGGCACAGCGCAGCGCGGGTTCTCGCAGCACTTGCGGCACATCCGATCCCAGTCGAGGCCTTCAAACTGAGTGAAGGATAAATAATGAGCAGGGACTGCCCCATTCGCCCCATGCGCGCCCGCCATCCTCGAGTCGAAGGAATATCTCCCGGTGCTTCCAAACTTCCAAACTAGGCGCAGAACGAGCGAACGCAGCCTCCAGGGCACGCAAAACACAGAAACACAATCCAGACGATGCGCTCCGCCACCAGGAGACCGCAGCTCTTATAACTCGCGTCCATCCGAGCCGACTCGCGAAACTGTGGCCCAAAGCGCAGAAATTACGTACTTGTGGCCAAACAGACAAGCGCTCTCTGCGACGCGAGTGAAACCTTCCCACCCATCTGAGCGCGTCCCAAAGTGCTATTATGCGCGCGCGCCTGTGGCGAGTCGACCAAGCGTCCATCCAATCGTATTTCTTGGATCTATACAACCAAACAAAGCCAAACTGCCAAGCCTGCCACAAAGAAGCATGCGCCCGTGCGTGCCTGGATTGCAACGGAGAAAAGGGAGGAGAGGGCCGTGCTTGGACTGAAGCGCGAGCGAAGGGCCTAGAAGTAGCACAGAGTCGTTCTCGGCCGTGCCGATATATGCCAGCGCGAGGTGGATGGCCGAAACAGGCGTCTTTGCATATTTGCATACAGATGAGACCAGAGAGGGCGACAAGAGGCTAGAAGACCTTCACGTGCATCGCAGCAGAGAACCAGATACAGTATCGGCAGCAGGAGGGGAAGCGCTTGGACTCAAGCGCGGAGCAAGACCAGCTAGAGTCGCCCTCGAGAACCGCCATGCGCGCCAGCTTCGGGTAGACAGTCATCGCCCAGGCAACCAAGGGACCAGGAGACAACTCGAACAAGCGCGCCAGCGCCCGGAAGACCAGCAGTAGTCGATCGCCAGCACGTCCCCAATCTTGGAGCAGACGTATTCAAGAGCCCGCACTGATGACTCATTCAGAGCTCGGACATGCGCGGCCTGACAACCTTGACGAGGTCCGACACAAACACGTCTTTACGATCGCCCGGTAGGGAGAACACAGTAAGAGCGGCAAGGGACCAGTAGAGCGCACCGACGCCCAGATCGATGTCGATGTCGCTTTATGAATCCATGTTCGAAAGCGGGCTTGCCGTGCACCTACAAACATTTCTCGCACGAGCCTTTAATATTCTTCCTGTAGCATATCCAGCAAAGTACGGCATTCCAGCAGATCGCCCAGGATCACCGCAGGCGAAGCAGGATGTCCGTTCGGAATCACTTTCTCCAGTACTATAGCTGGCAGAAACCGCGAATACCCCTTGGAGGTCCCGGTAGCACTAATAGAAAAATCAAGCGCACGGAGCAGCGGTGGCGAGGAGCCCGTCGTCATCGATAACAGCGACGTAAGGTCGAACATTGTCCTCGAGGTTCCCCTGCAGCTGGCAAGTGGACAAACGTAGCCAAATACTCGGGTGGCGTTGGCGCTACGTATACCTCGCCATTACACACCGAAAGGTGCAGGGAGAACAGCAAGTAGCAATCTTATTGCTGTTCTGAGAAATGTTGGCCGCGCGGGAAAAATGCAACGAAGTGGGCGCGCGCGAGTTCTGTTTGCGCGTTCAGCGGTGTCTGTCACTTTCACTTTGTATCTCGACGAATACATATGCTATTACTACAATACCTATACCGTCGTGATCCTCTCGTCGAGCTCTAGGTGCTGGTCTCAGAATCAACCCAGTCTGACAACTTTCCACTCCGACCTTCCGGACGACCCCTTCTGTGCAACTTTACGCGTTTATCTTGTCAACGGCACCTCCTCTCAACTTCGGACTTCTGCGTACGTCGAGTCTATCCACCAGTGCAGGTGCACAGATTGTATTGGGACTACCTAGCTGCAAAGACCCGAAAGCACACTCAGTCATGCACGGCCAAAAGGTTTCCGAAGATCTCTGCCGTGCGATAATGCGCATGCTACCCCTCCTAAGCCGAGATGACATTGAGGCATTTACGGGTGTTAGTAAGCGGCAGATAGAGATAGCTCGGCACTTTGAGATACAGGCAAGTGTATAGTCGGTCAGATATTACTCAGCCAGGG